GTATAAATCTGCTTTTTTACATAATTGTTGAATGAAATTAACATAATTATTAATTTATTGAAAAACATGACAGATAATCTGTGAAACAGATCTAGTTCAGCTGCTGTTTATCTATTAGTTTCTATGTTTGCTGTGAGCTGTTGTCCTGTTTGGTCTGTTTCTGCTCCTCCATGTTGTCACAGACACTACCAGTGGACAGGATGGGCAGGGCTCAGTCTAGTGATATTTAAGTCTATGAAAGACATTGATCATGGCGCCCCCTATAGGTTGACATGTCTGATTATTTTTTTTCTCCTCCATACTTGTAATCTTATTTAACTACCTTGTTAAAATCATCTCTGTAATCCCTGCAGTTTGGGCTGCAGTATGAGTTTTATAGACAGAAGGAAAATAATAATAATAAAAAATGGAACAGATACAATAGGGTTCCCCTGCTCTGCGGGCTTGGACCTCTAAATATAAGAATGTATCTCAAATTCAGTTATTCAACCACAAAACAACCAACAATATGATTTTACTCAACTCTACTCTGTAAACCAGGACTCACCGGCTTCAATCCCCAACAACTGGATGAGGTGGGACACTTGGTTGACCAGCGACTGTTTATATACAGGTCAACCAAACACAGAGAAAGCCAGCTCACTGGGACACATCACATCAACCAGACCATGTGGTTTTTAAAAATGATTGGGTCAATGCCCATATTAATGTTGACAATAAATTCTTTTACGCACTTTTTGTCACCAAATTATCCTGAAATCCATGCAGTGGATGGCTCAGACATTTGACTGCAGTGGTACAAAACACTAGTAAACACTAAAAAGACCTACAGAGAAAAATATAAATGGACGCAATCGTCAATCAAAGTCATGCCCTTGTTTGTTAAATGGAATCTATGTTTATTCTTATCAACATATAAGCAGCACTTCAATTAGGAGTCAGTCTAACAAACTGTGGTACACATGATACATTCAGTAATGCATGGCAAACACTGCAAACACACGAGCTGTGAAGGTGGCATTCAGACATATGGTGCTCTGTAATCATGCCTGCAGACACACACACGCTCTGGGGACAGATTACATCAGCAATATTGCTTCTGCCTTTATTAGGTTTAGTGGAAATGAAGTTTCTCCTGCAGCCTGCTGCTGATGAAACGATTTGTGTGCATGTGTGCGTAAATTAGGACTGTCTGGGTACATCTGAAGGTAGGCGCTGTGTGCTGGTTTGTGGAGCAAAGGGATATTGGCTGAGCCTGTCCTCAGATAAAGGCTTTCATCTGAAGGCTAGTTTCACAAGTTAACAGTGATCGGCCTGATAGAGCTCAGGCAGCAGACGGCAGGCGGCGGTGGGACGTTATCTCTGTGAGTCTGGAGATCAGCAGCTTGTGTTAATGTTAGCTTGTACCACAAATAGTGGACATCTCCCAACGTGTCGGTACCAGGATTTCATAAATACAAAGGAAACTGTCAGACAACAAAATACAAGCTGCATTTCACTGGAAGGGTCTTTGCTTGATTGATAACATGTAACTGTGGGAAGCTTATAAAACATTCACACTGCTGAGATCAGTTTTCTTCCGTAAGTTCTATGAAACACGTCACATTCTGCAAATTTTGTGCTATCTGCGCAATTTATATATCAAAACGTTCAGCTGCTATGATTTCTGGTACTTCAGCAATGTATTTGTTTTGAGAATTTTAGCTTTTTCAGCCATGTTTTTCTCACTGAAACTGAATGGAGATGTCTTCAGCATCCTTAAAACCCTTCAAAATGTTCATCAATATTTACTGTACTTTTTACATTTTGTGCTGGTTTTTTTCAACTTCCGCAAATTTCAGCTTCTATTTAGATGATTTTAGCTTGTTTCTGCTTTTTTTAGTTACATTCTGACCCTTTCCTTCTGCTAATTTAAACTTGTGCTTATTTCACATTCTTTCTGCAATTTGAAGCTTTTTATTATTCTTTCAGCTATTTTCTGCTAATTGCAGCTGTTTTCTGTGTTTTAGCCAGCTTTGTCTAATTTGACCTTTTTGCATCTAAATCCACCTTTTTGTGATGATTTCAGCTTATTTCTTCTTAATTCAGCAAATGTGCTCGTTCGTTTTCTTAGTGATAATTTAGCTACTTGCATTTTTAGCTATTCAGCAAAACTCTATTAAGCATTTTCACAGGAAATGCAAATTCTCTAGTGTTAAGGGCTCGACACATGGGAGGCGACGTCGCTCGCTCTCCATTCATTTCCTATGGAGCCTGTGCGGTGAGGCGACAATCGCTTGACCTCCTCCAGCTAAGCACCAGCGAAAATAGTGCATGTGAAATTTCGCGCTCGTACACGTAGACGTGCACACGCGAGCTTGCGACGCGACATACGAAAGTTGAAAAATGTTCAACTTTTGTCGCTGTCGCTTAGCGTACAACCAATCAGCAAGGGTTTCATTGACTGACCAATGAGAGGAGAGTATGCTACACACTGCAGTTAGCTAACACTTTCACCAAGTGATTACTAAAAAGCTTTGTGGGAATTTATTGGCACCAGGGTGAAGTTTATGGTAAGTTTTTCCTCATAAAACTGTATCTTGATGTTTGTTTGTTTTTCAGTATCATTAGCATCGCAAGATTTGTTTAGTTTACACGTCCGTAATGCACACCCGCCTTCAGAGTCAAGAACCAATCAAATTTTGTGAAGACAAGCGACCTGAGAGCGCGATTCGCAACGCTGCCGTCGCTATCGAGTCCCGTGTGTCGGGTTTCACCCTGGCTGCGATGACAGCTGTTCATCGCAGTAGTTTGTCGCTCCCCGTGTGTCGAGCCCTTAAGTCTGAAATTGTTGCGTAAATCTGACATTACCTACAAGAACAAAATCAGAGAAGGCTGCCAGTCCTTCTGGTTAGAATCGTGAAATACAAAATATCTGCGGTCCAGCTGATGGCAGCCATCAACATGTGTTGCTGAATGACACAGATCATTGCAGAGTCTAACATTAAACCTCATTAGTTCTCTAAGTGCACAATACAACTACTTTTTAATATGATCAGATTTGGACAACTTTGACCTTAAGGTCTGCTGGTGACCTCACACACCCAATGTTTCAAACACTGGACCACCATGCTACTGAGCAATCACACAATACGACCACCCATCCTCAGATGTTGTGATTAGAACCAAGCTGATGCATCGATGAGGCATCTTCTGACCTTCACTCTGTGGGGCTACAAGTCAGAGCTGGGTGCTGACTGGTAAATGAAGGAGAACTGGTGGTAAAACGCTGCCTTTCATTGTCCCACTGTGGTCTGATAAGACTGAACTCCACTCATGATGCCAGCTTCTTATAGGCCAGGTAATTTCCCTACCCACCACTGGACCAGTGAATAGACTTTGTACCACTCCAGGTTAAAAGCTTTTTTTAAACATGACCTATCTGACACAACAAATCAGTATTTATTAACAGAATCGTGTTGTATTAATGGTGAACTAATCATGAACTGGTGAATTCATGGTGTAATCACGAAGAAACGTTGTGTTTATGTTTAGTTCATGTTGTCGGGGATATTTATAGTTGCTGGTACCAAAACTGTTTTCAGATTTGACACCAACATGCACATTAAATGAGCCCAATCAGAACTGATTAAACACCTGGTCCAAACCCAAACAGCCCCTCACACACACCAAGATGACCGATGCTGAGGTGTGTCTCGTGCAGCGTCTCACCTCCACCTGCAGCTCTTTGGCCGTGGCCGCCTGCAGTTCAGTGGGAACGGTGCACTCCAGCGTGTTTCCCACCAGAGTCAGGGTCTCACAGCTGTGGTTGGAAACCGTCAGAACCTGACACTTCATGGCCTCTTTGTCCATCCGATCACCCTGCAGACAGGAGAACAACAATCCAAACTAATGCTTCACTTATCTGGACAGACAAAACTTAATACACAAATACATCCATGTCATCAGGTATCACTGCTGATTTGGGCTTTTTGTGGTTCACATTTTGTACACGTGGTTGTTTTTATGGTTTTGGCCCATATTTTTTACACTCCAGTCCACCAGATGTCAAAGTGGTTTTATGCTGAATGTTAATTTTTTTGTGACTTTTAAGTTAATAAAGTGTATAAATGTAACTATGTGGTCTTCTTTTTATTGTTTAATGTTCAAATTAGAATTCTGGACTGTATGTGATCCACCGTAGAAAGAGAGGACCTACAGTATATGCTGGTGGTCAAGGTGAGAAAAACTGTATTTTTTAATAATTGCTAGCTCGTCAAGGTTAGGTCTGACATCTTCCCTTAAATTTGTTTTATTTTAGAGCAAATCTTTCAAATTAAGACACTTTGTGACTAAAATCTAACAAAAAATTTTGCATACCATTTGCAGACAAGTTACATGAATGTCACAGATTCTTCACAGTTGTGTAAATATTCAAATGTGTCATAAGTAAAAATTCAGACCAAGTGACGGCCTCCTTAGGTTGCTAAATTTTACTAATTGGCATAAAAATGTGCGTGAATATTTTTTGTACAGACCCGAGACGTGTGATTTGGCAAGGTTGAAATTCAGTTTTTTTGTGCACAGTTTTGTATTTTAGATCATGTACGGCGGTTTGTTGCACATATTAAACCCGTCTCAACCTGCTTTGTTCCCACCTCGACAGAAACGTTCCACATTTATGACAGAATCTACTGAGGCCATGTTAAAAATCATGACAGGCAGATTTTTAAACAATTCTTATTTATGTATTTACTGTTTTGTGTTTTTGTGTATCAGTAACTGCTTGGGAAGATGCTTCACTTTACTTTAGGGTACACAAAAACAGTAGTTACTGGTCAGTTACTGAGTAAGTAATGATTAACAACTCAGTAGTTCCCAAGTAGTTCCTCTTTGGTGTACTCAGTAACTATTCAGTAACTACTCAGTAACTATGTAGTAACTACTTAGTAGTTCGTCTTTAGAGTACTTAGTAACTAATTTCTAAGTACTCAGTAGTTCCTGAGCAGTTCCTCTTTGGTGTCCATAGTAGTTCCTCAGTAGTTAAGCAATTTTTGTGTACCTTGTAGTAAAGTCAGTATTACCTATTTATCACACAATTTTTGTCTAACGTTCAAAAGTGGGTGGCAAGGTGGCTCAGATAGTAGAGCTGTTGCCTCTGAGCAAGAAGGTTGCTGGATTGAATCCTGGCTGGTGTCCTTTCTGGGTAGAGTTTGCATGTTCTCTCTGTGCATGCGTGGGTTTTCTCCCCCAGACCAAAACATGACTGTCTGTCTCATTTGTCTCTATGTGGCCCTGTCTAGGACTAGTCTCTTACTAATCACTGACTAGTCAATAACTACCCTATAATTAGTCTCTGACTGGTCTTTTACTAGTCTCTAACTAGTCTCAAAGTAATCTCTCTCTCACTAATCACTGACTAGTCTATAACTAGTTTTTAACTGGTCTCTAACTAGTCTCTAACTAGTCTCTGACTGGTCTCTAACTAGTGTCTGACTAGTCTCAAAGTATTCACTGACTCGTCTATGACTAGTCTCTAACTATTCTTTTACTAATCACTGACTAGTCACTAACTACCCTATAATAAGTCTCTGACTGGTCTTTTACTAGTCTCTAACTAGTCTCTCACTAATCACTGACTACTCTCTAGCTAGTCTCTGACTGGTCTATAACTAGCCGGAGTGGTCAGGCAACTGACAGCATGGACCATCGACTACCTCACCAACAGACCACAATATGTGAGGCTCCACGACTGTGTGTCTGATGTGGTAGTCTGCAGCATGGGGGCACCACAGAGCACAGTCCTCTCACCCTCTCTGTTCAGTCTGTATACATCAGACTTCAGGTACAACTTGGACCACTGCCACCTTCAGAAGTTCTCGGATGATACGGCCATCATTTGATGCGCATCAGACGGGAATGATGAGGAATACAGGGGGGTCATCAATGACTTTGTTAAAAGAGATGGTCATAGACCTCAGGAGGAAGCCACCCCCCACAGCACCGGTGAACATCCAGGGAAAAGACAATGAGACAGTGGACTCTTACAAGTACCTGGGTGTTCACCTCAACAACAAGCTGGACAGGACTACAAACACAGACGTCCTGTATAAAAAGGGCCAGAGTCGACTCCACCTACTGAGGAGGCTGAGGTCCTTCGGTGTCTGCAGGACTCTGTTAAAGACATTCTACGACACGGTGGTAGCATCTGGCCTTTTCTATGGAGTGGTCTGCTGTGGGGCTGGATGTACTGAAAGGGACAGGAACAGGATGGACAAACTGATACGGAGGTCAAGCTCTGTGCTGAGATGTCCTCTGGAGCCTGTGGTAGTGGTGGTTGCGAGGAGGATATTGGCAGACAGCCATCATGGACAACCCCCACCACCTTCTGCATGAAACCGTGGGGGGGCTGAGCAGCTCCTTCAGTCAGAGACTTAAACATCCTCGCTGCGTGACGAAGCGCTTCCGTAGGTCATTCATTCCAACTGCAGTTAAATTGTATAACACATCATGATGTTATCAGTCACTTGGACAATTCACCTACACTGCCATCACTAATATGCACCTTCATATACATTCATTTATTTACTGTACTATATGGTAAGTTTATGTACATATGTGTTTATGTATACGAATATATGTGCATTGGTATACAGTATGTACATTGTTATATCACATGTGTATAGTTAACACATTCTCACTCCCGAATTGTCAACATATTGGCGCTTTTCCAAAGTTCCCTCTGCGCCTTATTTTGACGCTTCGGGTGACCCCCTCGCGTCAGTCCTTGCTGCCCGCGGCTTTTCTGGGTTGCGCCACCAGGGGTCTTTGTGTCGGGCTCTGAGGTTAACATGAGTGATCAGGATAAATGGTTAAGTTAAGGGACTGGGGTCAGGGATAGGATGTCTACAGCGACTATTAGGTAGGTTTAGGCTTTGGAACACGTAGTTGACGTGAATTTCCTATATTTTCTAAAAATGGTTAATTTTAGGTACTAGGGTCAGGGACAGGATGTCCAAAGTGAATAAATGTAATTTTAGGCTTTGGGACGGTAGTTTTTGTGCATTTTCTACACTTTCAGAAATTATGACAACAGATTCCGCCCCATCTCGTCAAAAAATGACGCAAGGGGAGTACCCAAGGCGTCAAAATCGGATGCAGAGGGAACTTTGGAAACTTTGGAAAAGCGTCAATATGTGATGACTCGGGAGTGAGAATGGGTTGGTATAGTATGTGTTTTTAGTTTTTCTTTTATTTATCTTTCTTTATTTTATCTCACCCTCTCCTGTATTGAGCTGCAGTTATCTTATCTTATCTTATCTTATCTTATCTTATCTTATCTTATCTTATCTTATCTTATCTTATCTTATCTTATCTTATCTTATCTTATCTTAACTAGTCTCTGACTAGTCCATAACTAATCTCTAACTACCATATAACTAGTCTCTAAATAAAGTAGAACTCAGTGGTTCCCAAAGTTGGGGTCGAGACCAAAGTGGGTCCTGAAACATAAAGATGGGGTCCTGAAAAGATTTTCTGAATCAATTACTCTGAAAAATGAGAACTAACATTTTTTTGCCTTTGTTGTTACAAAAGAGTAAGTTTAGTGCCCTTACAATGGAGAAAAATAGCGTAATGAATATTGTTACTATGACTTTGTTTATTTGACATGAAAACAATGTTTATCAACCTATAACAGCTGGGCACAGGTCTCTGCTATTGTTAGTTTGTGGGTCAAAAGCTGAAAAGTTAGGGAACCACTGCAATAAATAGTCTCTGACTGGTCCATAACTAGTCTCTAGGCATAGCCATGTGAGAAACTGGCTTGCTTTATTTTCTAATAACAGTTAATCTCAATCGATGAGCTGTATAATCTGTATAATCTGTATAATCCCTGACATAAACTCACAAGACAAAAGGCCACACCCTTAAAGAAAAAAATTACTAAAAGCTCACAATTAATGCGACTTTTATAGCCACTCGTTGCATCACAGAAATAACACAAAAGATTTCTATCATAAAGTTTTATCATACACCATGAACATATCACATTACAAATGTGAGGAGATTAAAATACTCCTTCATTGTTAAAAACTCACTCATTAACACAGTAACTGCTCAATCTTTGCTCGAGTGAATAAAAATATTGGTAAAAAAACTGTGAAAGGTTAGAAGGTGAGAAAAATTAGGAACGAGAGAGGTGTCACAAATATCATACCTTTGGTGTTTTAAAAATAAAAAGAATTGTGGGCTATTGTCTCTTTTTTCATTAAGGCTGTGATCTTTTGCCTGTCCACCAGATAATCTGTGTAATCTCACTCTTACAGATCTCTCTTCAGGAACAAGCTCTCACAGATAATCTAACGATGTTTACAGTTTGGAACTGTTGCTGTGGGATTCCCCCGGCTGAACTGAGTCATAGCTGATCTGCAGCTGGATGTATTTATCTGTTTGTTGTACTTTTAGTAGTTTATCTACTGGACCATTATGAGACCTGAAGGGAAAAACACAGTTAATATCTGTCTCTGTTTGATGAAAGAGCTTCGTTTGCTTTATTGTCTCCACTTATTCTCTGACTTTCTTTGCCATGCTTTCCTATATCACAAGCTGCGTTTCCAATGACCATGAAAATGCGCAAATTAGAATTTCGAAAATAAATTTGCTCAATGGAAACACGTCAATTAAAAAAATTACGTTTTTCGACAAAATGTTTTTGCGCTAGGATGAGGTGGCTTTTCGGCCGTATCGAAATTGGTGTTTTTCGCAAAACTGCAAAGGAATCATTCATTTTTTGGTAATTTTATATCCTAACCCTGACCATTTACCCTAAAATTAACCTCACAGGTACCTACCTGACCCTAAAACTAACCTAAACTCAACTG